GGGGGGGCGGGGGGAGAAGGAAGAGAGGGAAGATCTGAGTGATTTAATCGGCTAGTAATTCTGCTGTTGGAAACTTGTTCAAAAATAAAGAAAATAATTTTTATTTTAGTAATGATTTACTTGAACAATAGTGTTCAAAATAGTGCTTCAATCTCCAAAAGGGTGGCATGCAAACGTGGTGATGGTAGCGCGAGTGAGCAGCAGGGAACTAGAAACCAGAAAAACCCATCCTAAAACGTGTTGTCGTATCCCAATAACATTTACTCCACCACGTTGGTAGTCCGGATAATCCTGAAATAAGTTTCAGGATTCATCTACGAATAAGCCGTTATGCCGATTGCAATGGAAACAGCATCGGCGTTGGTATCAGCCGGATCCGAAACAGATTTGACTTCTGAGAAACCATTGGATCAGCACCAACAACAAACTTCGCAGACGCAGTTATCACGTGGTAGTACCTCGCCGGCAACTTCTTCGCCAACAGTCACTGAACAACCAGCTTTGCAAATTGATTTGGGCACCAATCTTTCAGCTATTCTGAATGCCACCGCAAAAAATAGCGACGTATTTGATTTTTCTGTATTAATTTAGTAAACGGCAATACAAAATAGGAAACCTGGCAGGAGCTAGCTAACTGACTAAGGATATTTATATCCTGGCAGTTTTTTTTTATGTTTCCACAAAAAATGATTCTTATCGCCCAAACTTCTCATAGTCCGCTAAAAATGGAACGGAGATGCATGTGAACGTTCTCCTCAGCACCGGTGGCACCATATTAATGGTGTGGAGTTCTTGAGGCTCTTTTCTTCTCATTTCCAACAATCTTGTACTTGTTTAGAACCAAAGCTGGATTCATGGAAGTTTTTTTAGGACTTGGAGTATCTTCTGATTTTTGATAGTAAATTTTGCCTGTCTGTATTTGTATCTAAAAAATTTCAGAAAAATTAAATTTTAAAAACCTCTCGCGCTTAATTTTTTAAAACGTCTTTCTTTTTATTCTTTTTCATTTCCAAAACAGTGGAAGCTGGGCCAATTTTAACAAATTTTTTGAAAATTCTAGACTAAAAACGAAAATTCGCCGGCAGTTGGTGACGATGCTAATTTATTATTGGAACGTGAGCTTGAAATTCAACAAAAAGCCTTTCAAAGGTTTACTTCCTCATTAAACGGTAAAACTTTTTCAAAAATCATATCAAAATAAGTTTTTTTGAGAGAAAATCGGATGCTCCGTATTTTAAGCGTTTAAAATTGCCAAATCGAAATTTTTAAATTAAAGATCAAAACTTTGTTTGTTTTTACTAAACTAGTTTTTTGAGTTCTCCCGATTTTTTCAGGCTTATTCGGCATTCTGAATTTCTTGAATTTTTCAGGCTGCAGCGAAGTTTGAATCCCCAATGTTCGTTAAAACTGATCATCAGTCATAATACATTTTCCGTGTGAGTTTCAAATTGAAAAATGGGGATTAGAAATTCAGGATTTCAGATCTCGGTTTTCGGTCAACATTTCCAATGAACGTTTTTCCGCCATTTTTGGCAGCCATGCAGCAGAATCCGCTAACGCTGCATAATCAATTTGTGGCAACTAGCGGTAGCAATCCGCGGAGTTCTGGTGTTTCGCCAGGATTAGACGATGATGATGATAATTACGCTCTGGGTAGTACGGAACCTGAAGATTTAACAATTAGGCAAGTCATACTGTATGTCTTATATGATTACTTTTGAGTCAGATTCAGTATCTGAATTTAAGTTCACGATTAAATTATATTCAGTTTTGCACCTATCACGTCTGGTCGGAGAAACTTACTGAATTGGCTGCAGATACTACAATTGTGGAGTCCTTGATTGGCACGGTGTAGTCACAAAATGAGTGCAAAACCCTACATCCTGACTATTGTTTTCTGTTACCACACGCCATGCTTGCTCGAAAAATGCGCCATTCGCCTGGGGAAGCTGTGTGATCGTTGCCTCTGTCCAGAAATAGAACAAAGTGATCAAAGTGTTTTGTTCAACAGATAAAATTTTAGCCTTTAACGATGGCTTTGCTTCATTACATTTTCAGCTACTTATTTTTGGTCTAAATGTTACCGCACTGAGCAAAGTAAACTCTGTTTTTCCTGGGAAAATCATTGGACTTTTCTTATAACAAATCAAAAACTTTATTTTCGGAAAACTTTTTAAATTGTAAAATTTTCTCTTTACATAGAAGATCAAAAAGCTGTATTAGTTACTGAAAAATTTTTTAGTTTCCGTAAAGAGAAGAAAGAGTGTGGTGCAGGAAGCGGTGTTGGATGTGCCGGTGATGATAACGCTGATTCGGATGCCAGTGGCCAACAGAATTGGTCGTACGAAGAGCAATTCAAGCAAGTCCGCTTTTTTTGTTTATTTTGAAAAATCGAGTTTATTTTTGACAATTCAGAAACCTTTAAAAAGTATAATTTTCGTTTTAAATGTCAGATTTGCAAAACACACTGATTCCCCCGAAAGTGCTCCAAATTTTTATTTGCCGCCTGAGTTTTTCAATAATTCGAATTTTAAAACTTAAAAGTTAAAAACATGATAATGGATGTCGCGAAAAACCGGAAACAACCATGAAAAAACTAACTTGGAAAGAGAGACAAAAAAAAGATGTAAGTTGCTTAGAAGCGAATACACAATCGAAACACTCCCGGATTATTCCTCCAGGATGTATACATTTACAGTTTGCAGTTTGTGTGTCTTTGTGCATGTGTCTGTTTGTCTTTAAGTACGTGTTGTGCATACATGTATGTGGATGTATGTTTGAGTGTGAATGTGTGTGTTTGTGTGTGAATGTACGTATTTGTTTATGTGTGTATGTGTGTGTGTGTGCGTATGTGTGTAGTGTGTCCGTACCTGTCGGACCGAACAGTTGTGCATTTTATTTTATAGCAGTCAGCTGAGGAAGTAGGAAAAAAAGTTTATTTCACAAAGCGTAACTTGATACTAGTTTTTTTTTTTTTTTGTTGCTTACGTACCTGAATAGCAGTCGGCAATCAGAGCTTTCAAAATTCCAGCATCTCAATAATATGATCCAGAAAAATAGCTCTTTCTTGAAGCATTTTTTTTTATTGTTGATGAAACTTTATCAACAAGTTCAGCTAACATTTGGAGAAAAAAAGTTCGATATTTTCGTTACGGATGAAGTAAAAGCGAAACTGTTTTGTACTGATGAAACACGTTTTTTCATCGCTAGCGCATTCTAAACTATTGGTTTTGAAAACTAGAATATGTGAGCAAAACAGCCAAGTCAAGCACTAGTATGACAAACTTTCTTTTTGGATTTTCGACCTTCGGTTATGTTCTAAGCCCAACTGGCGCATGGTTGCTGTTGGTACTTGCTACCGTATGCGCTACTTCTCAGTGATCCCGATTGTCCTAACGTGTGAATACGGAAGGAAGTTTAAGAAATATCTTTTCAAAGACTGTCCGAGTACTTGTTTTCTGTTTCGCTACTATCACAACACTGATGGGCAGGGCAACTACTAAAACTCGGCTCGGCCCGGCTCGGCTCGGCACGGCTCGGCTCGGCTCGGCTCGGCCGGTGCGTTTTGCGCCCCAGTGAGGCG